GAGAGAGAGAGAGATTTCTGTGTGCACATGTTTATTTGCATGAGTTTAAAAAATTTTGAGAAATAGAAGGGACTCCTTTTTCAGCTCTCTCTAAAATATCTCCTTCTACCTGTTAAAACTCATTAATCTTCTAAAAAACTGCACCTTTATGGGTACATGGCCAGTGTCTCTATCATCAGTGTAATAGCTAGAGAAGGGGAGATTATAGAGAGAGAGATATAAAAGACATAGGACTTGAGGAGAGAGAAAAGGAGAGGACTGATCGGGGAGTGAGAAAGAGAGAGAGCTATAAGGCACAGAGAGAGAGAGGTCTCATCGGGGAGAGAGAAAGAGAGTGAGAGTCATGGGGGCAAGAGAATCCTATAAACAAATCCTGTCCAAAAGTTATGGGGCAGAGAGCCATTTCACTCTATGGCCCTGTACCTTCTCCATCGGGCACGTGGCCACCAAGTATCTAGCCCTTTTTGTTGCCACCAACCACATGTCCTCCATGTTAGTTTTTTTTATTTGTTATTCATGTATCTTTTCTTGCTTTTTATTTGCTATTCTATGTCTTTTCTTTTGATGAAAAGATAAATACATGTGTCATTCTCTAAAAGTTAAAAAGAGAGAGACATGTGGCCTTTTTTTTTTTGTTTGTTTGTTTTTTTTTTGAAGGGGCTTGGGTGTTCACACCCGCCTTGGCACCTGTCTTAGGCATATCTGCCTAGACCCACCGCGGTAGCCTAGGCGGTTTGTCGGTGAGGGGTTGTGTTAGGTGGGGCATCCAGCATAAACCTTTGCCAAATCTTGTCATGAATTCTGAACTTATGAGTAGAATGACGGAACGGGATTTATGTAGCCAACCCCAAGTACTTGGGGTAAGGCTTAGATGATGATGATGATGATGATCTACCATGGAATCCAAATTTATAACTTGGTACATGGCGGCTAATGAGGCTTCATGGATTAAGAAATTTCTAAATAATCTAAGGTAACTACCTTTGAGATGTGAGACCATAAGTATAATATGTGACAACCACGCGGCAATATATAATGCTAAAGAGCTGAGGTTTGTAGGGAGTCTCAGCACATAAAGGTCATATTCTATTAAACAAGAGATGAGAAAGAGATTGGAGAGATTGATGTGGCATATATACCCACCAAGGCCATGCACGCTGATCCTATGACTAGAGGCTTGGTTTATAAAGTGTTTTTAAAGCATGTACATGGTATGGGACTAAGAAAAGTTGAATGTCAAACAGTAGGATCTTGAATCCCTAACAATGGGGATTTAGATCACAAAATTTAGCAATCGAGATCCCTTGAAGATCTCTATCCTGAAGCTCTAGAGTACGATTCTGGAGCGGAATCGCCATTTATGTTGGTAGATCTAGACAACTATGTTTGTGCCTATCTTTCTGATTGGCCCTCCTTGCTTGCTGAAATTGGGTCTGAACAACACTTGGTGCACAGTACTCTCTTACTGTCTTTGATCACCTTCTATTTGTGTTTTCTTTTCGTTCACTGTCTAGATGGATTGCAACTTTGACATGCACATGAACACTTGGACAAGGCATAACATCATCCCATAGTTTGGCTAGTTGATACCAATTTTAAAAAATTCGGCCACCCGGCCTCCTAGGCATCTGAAAGCCAAAATGCTAGCCATGGCCTCGATGGGCTGCCTGGGCAGCCGTGCATCTAAGGAGGCTGCCTAGGTGGCGCCTCGACGCAGGGAGGCTGAGGGCAGGAAAAGGCCCTTGGTCAAAGGCAATATGGGAATTTTCCCCCCAAAAAGGGGGGAAAAGGGTTTTGAGAGGCATTCTTGTTTGCCAAAATCCCGAGTTTTGAGAGGCACTTGCTTAAGTTAGAGGAAGAAATACTCTAAAAATACTCTTAGGATATGAGATATTTCTAAAGATTGAAAAAAAATTCAACTTTTTTGATTTCTCCTGAAATCAAAAGAAATACGTTGTGATAATTTGTGGATTTTGGATTGGTAGCTTAAGGGGACTTTTGGTGCCCAGAGATCACTAATTTGGGCCGATATAGGTTTCATTTAGAAAAGGTTAGTGCATTACGGTATTGGAATTAGGGTTTGCCATTTTTTTGTATAATGTGTATGAGATAAGGGAGCTCGATCCTTATAAGGATCTCAATTTGACTAAAAGGGATCTTGATTGCTTGGAGGGAAACTATGACCCACTTAGAATGGGGTGTGATCATGTTTTGAATGGACATTGATCCTTGGGGAAGTTTCGAAAGCTTTTGAATATGGAACCTAATGTCTTTGATTTGTACTATTTTTGCTTTTTGTCAAATTTCTAGCTGATGACCACCAATTGAATGTTTTCTTTTTCGTTTTCATGATCGTGATTTGCATTAGTGGTTGAAAATTGGTGAACTGACCTGGAAACACTTGAGTCAATTGGACCTGGGGATCTCCCTAGTTCCTGATAGTCCCTTACATGGGAAATGCTAGGGTTCTTCAGAACTAGGCGATTCTTGCTATACGCAATCATCATCTCGTATGTTTAGGGACTCAAGTGATTTCTAAGTTTTGTTCTTATCATAGCACTCCAGTCTCATTTTTTCTCTCTCCCTCTTTTTTTATTTTTATTTTTTATGAGATCGTCAGCTATAGAGTTCTCGTTGTGCATGTGTAGATAATGTTAGTGGATTACACATTTCTCAATTTTTAAAATCGCTTTAAAAATAAATAATATCTACAATATATATATATATAAATCTGACCTCAATTAATTGGGAAAAAAGCGATGACGATGAT